CGGTGATGAGCCGGGCCTGGAGGACACGGCGCCATCGCAGTCAGGTGGGCCCCGGGGCAAACCAGGCAGGGCCGGGGCAGACGGGAGCTCACAACCAGGCCCCCTCCCCACTGCCCGGCGCCGCGGGGGTTCGGGCCGCGCCCCGCGCTCCGCCCGCTCTCCTTTGGGGTTGACCCGGGGGCTCAGGGGTCGCGGGTTGAGCCTGGCCCCGCCCCCAGGCGCGCACGACGCTGGGGGCGACTGAGGGGGCCCTGGTATGGCGTCCGACCAAGCGGCGACAGGGGGCGCGATCGCTTGGGGCCCAGGGTGGGGGGCGCGCTTAGCACCCCCCCTTGAAGGGTTAATTCTGCAGCCTAATGTCCCCATCCCCCTGTGGGGCAGGTTGGGGGGTGGGGTGGGGCGGGTGTGAGCCCGGGCAGGCGCTGCAAGCTGCTGGGAGGGCGATGGCGTAGGAACCAGGCAGAGCGGGGGAGGGGTGGGCCGCCGAGCGCCCCGGAGTTGGGGTGTGCGGGGTGCACACGGCGAGCTGGGGCCCCGGAGCCGCCGCGCCGTCGGGGCAGGGTTGTGGCTGTTAGTCCTGGAGACGGTGCCTCGACGCTATATGTTGTGGGCAAGGTAAAATTCTCCTGGGCACCACCGTTTGCTGTTCTGGCCGCCCGGGGACTGGCTAGGGCCCTCCCTGAGCCAAGGGGGCAGAAAGGCAGGAGGGTGTCCAGTGTTGGGGCAGAATTACAAGCTGTGGCTTTGAGTGACAGATTGGCATTGGAAACTGGGCACAATACGTAGAGTGCAGAGTTGGTTAGCAGTGGGTTTTCAGGTATGTTTTTCTACCCTAGCATGTGTTTTCTTGCACGTATGTATCTTGTGTTGCACACATATGAACTGTTTATGAACTGTTGTTTTCTGCATAGTTGGCGTGTTTTGTGTGTTATGGAGGGCACAAGAATGCTAGGTGTATGTGCCCATTTGCAGGGGGTGGCTGCATGTCTTTGATTGAGTCAGACTGTCTCGTCTGGGTCCCATTTCTGTGGCTCTGCTGAGGTGTGGTCCAGTCATGGCTAGAACAGGCCATTGGATGGGTCTGTGTGCCCGTGTGATGAGCGCATTACATGGCGGTTGCACATCTAGAACTCAGACCCGGTGGATAGTTCGGAGAGTGAGCAATCCAAGGTGTGCCTTGGGTCCTGGTGGGTCAGTTGGCACTGGTATAGGGGCTTGGGTGGATCAGGCAGGTTGTGTTTATGGGATTGTGGGCAGTCAAGCGAGGGGGAAGGTTGTGTGTTTGCAACATTCTCCATGGGATTCTTTTGTGACGTTGTTTGTAGGAGCCTATCCGGGCTGGAAAGGCGAGCTGGTCAGAAAATACTTGTGGGGAGGGAGGTGGCGTGACAAGGGCACTGTGGGCCTCAGACTCAAGAGTCCAGCACAAACTGCGTGTGCGTGCCTGAGTTGTGTGTGTGGTGGTGTGGGGCTGCCGGTGGAGATGTGTTATAAGGAAGGTGGAGCGATAAATATGGGGTAGAGCAAGGGCAGCAGTTGGGGGCCCGGGTTGTTGTCAGAATGGCTCCGCCAGCCTTTGTGCAGGGTCTATGTGCTTGCCCCTCACCAGCTGCCTGCTCAGTATGTCAGGGTCACCGGGAGGAGAGGAGGCCAGACTAGCTACAAGGGAAGTGAGCTTGGTCAGAGTTGTGGCTCTTTGGCCATGTTTATGTAAAGGCTGGGTGTGTGACTCTTGTCATTAAAATGGAAAAAAACAAAGTGAAGTTTTCAGTCTTCTCCTGTTTTGTCCTCTGTCTGTCCCCTTTTGCAGGTCTCTGCTTTTCCTTCTCTCCTCTGACGCACACCAGGCCGCACTCCTGCGACCTGCCACCATGGAGGGTTCTAGGAACGGAATTTGCTCACTAGGCAGATTCCTCAGAACAGGTTTCCCTCACCTTTGGGGCCTGGGCCCTTCTGTGTCTGTGTGTGTGAGTTGAGTGGTATGTGTGCTCCAAACATGCACACCACTGTATCCTGGGCTTGGCCTGGAGGATGGAATGTATGTGCAGGCGTACACAGGCCATGGCTGGAGCCTTCTGCACCTAGGGGCGGGGGAGGCTGACTGTGAGGTGTGCACAACAGGTGCACAGGACAGCCTGGAGAAGGAAGGAGCCCGAGGCTAAAACTCAGTTCTGCCTCCACAGAGTCCTCACTGGCACGTTCCCTGAGGGATCCTCAGTTCCTCACTTCCTACCTGTCTTCCAGTGGGATTGTAAGTAGCATCTGAGTAACAGACCAGGAGATTGGCTACAGTTTGGGACTATGCCTTTGCCAGTTCCTGTCAGCTTTCTACCAGCACCAAAGGCCCCCTTTTTCGGGTTTTGCTCCCAGTAATAGCAGTAAACACTTAGTCCTTAGGTACCAGGCCATGTTCTCAGTGCTGTTACATGCGATCGATCATCTGTTTAGTGTTCACAACCACTTTGTGGAAGTAGGCACTATAATTAATTCCTTTTTAAGGTGAGACAACTGAGGCCCAGAGAAGTTAAGTCATTTGCTCAAAGTCACTTAGCTAGTAAGAGGAAGGACTGGATTTGGACCCAGGCAGTCAGCACCTGAATCCTGTGCCCTTAACCGTTGCAGTCTACTGCCCAACAATAGACCTGTCTGTGCCCCCTCCCCAATTTCAGTAGAACTTGGCACCAGCACCAATCCATATTAGAAGACTAATGTGGAATGCTCAGGCAGTGTTCTCAGCGAGTCACCACCTTGGGATTGGGAACCTAAATATCTGCTGCAATAGTGTCTGCTGCAGTATAATATGGGTGCTGCCCAGAGAGGCACAAAATGATGAATCAGGGAAGCGTGGAGGAGGACATGGATTTGAGTTCAAACTTAACATTTTGGAGAAAGAGCTTTTCTTGAGAAGCAGTTGGGGAAAGGGCATTTCCAGCAGGAAGCCAGCAGCAAAAGCATGGGCATGTGGGCCTTAGGAGCTTGGATAGCACACAGGGTTCTTGAAGGGAGAATAAGGCAGAGCAAGATTAGAAAGGAAGGTTGGAGTTAGACCAGAGCCCTTGAATGCCTGGCTGAGGAATTTAAACTTTCTTCTGGAGTCCAGTAGAGACCAGTGAAGGGTCTGGGCCTAGGAGTGATAACTTCTTAGCAGTGGCTGGGAAGTTGCCTCTCAAAGGGAAGAAGGCAATGGAAGAAGAAGGTTCTGTAGGCAAGGAGGGGATTGCCTGGGAGGCCATAGGCCATATGAGTGGTAGCAAGGACCTGAGCTAGTTTGGGGGCATGAGGGGAGGTTGAAAGGAAGGCTTCCAGAGTCATTCCCAAGCTCAGCCGCAGATCCGACCAGACTGGGTGACTGCCTGGATGTGGGAAGCTGGGAAAGGGTGGAGTCAGACATGACACATTTAGCACTTAGCACGTGAGGCCTTGTGTGGTGATTTATGTAACCAGCTGGCCTGTCATTGGCCCCTTCAGAGCAGGATCTGGCAGTATGGCACAGGGGTAAGATACAGCCACTCTGAGGACAGACGGGTCTGGGTTCGAATCTTAGTCTGCTGCTTACAAGCTGTGTGACCTTGAGCAAGTCATAGCCCTCTTGGAGCCTCAGTTTCCTTTTCTGTAAAACCAGGGTAGTATAAATGCTTCTTTTGGGTGGCGATTTTGAGGATCTTATTAAATGAAAGGATACGTGTTAATAGAGTCCCTGAAAGTGCATCAGGCAAATGTGGGTGCTTCAGAGATGGTCCTGGCTGACTCTGCCTGGCACAGAGTGGCTTCCTTCAAGAGCGTGGACAGACTGCAGGCTTACTTTGAAGAAGGCAGGTCCATTCATTCACCAAAAATCTTTTTACTTCCCAGTATATGCCAACACATGGTTC